GGGGCCTTCACTCCTCTGGCCTTTCCCTAACGAGCCTGCTCTTTTTGTTTGTTTGTTTTGCCTTAATAATATACTAGCTTCTCTTTGCATCATTTTGTGCCTTTTCCCACGTCAGTCGCCCTCCGCGTGGGCTTCCCGTCACGACATCACCCGTGTGCCATCACCACGGCCCAGTGCGTGTCCTTCCCGCACTGTTTTTGCGCCCACCCCCCAGCCGGCCCCCACAAAACGTCTCTGGGCTGTAGCTGTGCCCGGCGATGATTATTTTCTCGCCGGGTCCGTCCTCGTCCTGCTGTGAGTGAGGCCATCCGGTGTTTGCCCTCTGCTGTCTGGCGAGGCGCCAGCTCTTCACACCTACCTGCTCTCTGTCTCGTGGACGCTCTGGCCTGGGCACGCGCCTCGGCCGCCGACAGGGGAGCTCTGGGCACGCCTTTCCCGGCGTGAGCCCCAGGGCCCGCACTCCAAGCCCGCTAACTCCAAACGCAAAGCCAGGGGAGCCCCAGGTCCCAGGATGTGAACGCTCCTGTAAGCAGGGCGGTTGCAAGGGTCGGGGCACCCTGGAACAGGGCCTCTCCCCAGGCCTGTATGGCGGGCTGCTGCCACGGACGGGCACAGGGCCACATCTCTGGCCGCAGTAGCCCGCCGGCCAGTGGCCTCTGGCAAGGGTGGGTGGGGCACGGACTGGCCTGCGGGCAGTGCGGGCTCATTTGTGATCCTCGCCCGCCATCTAGCGGCGGCCTCGGGTAAATCCAGAGAATGAGCCCAGTCTACGCTCTCGGACCCAGGGAGGCCATTTTCTCAATGGACAGAGCGCAGTATTTCCCAGCCGACACTGCGGAGCTCAGGCTGCAGGAAATGGCGGCACGCGGCGCATGCGCGGCACCCCTCCCACACTGGCCAAGGCACCTACGAGTCTGGTGCCAACATGCGCAGGCGCACATTTTGATGCAGGCACGTTTTTGCTATTTCCTTATTACCAAGGGGTCACAGTAGCACATGCAGCCCTTTCTTGCACAAGAAAAGGCTGGGCAGACGGTTTGCTCGCAGCTCTTCCTTGGTGGGTGCAACTCCCACCTCTCAGGCTGCAGTCTGCACACGGCTAACCTGCACACTGCCCGTCGCTACGTCGGGGGCACGGTGGGTGGCAGCTCGGCAAGGCTCATCAGTTAGAGTCCCCTTAAAATAAAAAGGCCTTCCACCACTCTCCTGGGCCCCTTCTTTCCGCTCCCCACAGCACCATTCCTAGAAGAGCTGTCCGCCTTCTCTTCCACCAACTCTTCATGGAAACCAGCATTGTGTTCCCATTTCCTAAGCTACCTGTGCTAAGCGGCCTCTTCACCCCATGTGCCCAGCTCCAGAGTCTGGTTCCTAAGGAGACTCCTGCCCCCACTGGGGGCCTAAAGCCACCACCGGACTCTGAAACACACGGCTGCAAATGCTGCGTGTGATCACCGCCGGCTGCCACCGTAAGCATTTGCAGCCGTGAGCTCCAGGCCTCACTGACGGGGCAGTGCCCCCCTGCGTGAGCAGCCTTGTGCTTGGGGTCCCTGGCCACGGCGGACACGATTTGGGCTGAGCCCGCCGACGGCTGTGGCCGCAGAGACCTCGTTTCCCCTTTTGTTAGATAAGCCCCAGGCTGTCGCTCCCTAGGCCTGGGCGGCCTGCGGTGTGTGTGCGGGTGGGCACCCAGACGGTCAACAGGGTGCTGGCCGCAGACGGCCGCCTCGGGCCTGGGACGGTGTCACCATGGCGTGAGGCGACCGCGCCACGCAGCGAGCAGTCACGGGGAGCGGGGAGCTCTGTGCGCGGCGCCTGTGCATTGCATATACGGACGTGCCACAAGGTGCCAAATCCACGCACAAAATCTCATCCTCTTTTCCAGCTGCCTTAGAAACAAACAGGCTCTCACATATACGTTAATATTCGCAACACATTAAGAACACAATATCTAGTGCTTCGAATGTAAAAAGAAACGAATTCTTAGAAAACCTACATCTTTAAAAAATTCACGTTCAAATAAGTTAATCCTTAGCAAACAAAAGTAGTTTACTACTGCTAATTAAAAAAGCAGCTGTGTTTTGTGAGCAAGCACTATTCTATACAATACCAACATACTGCCATGGGTACACTCTTCCTAAACGTAGTTTTGCTGAGGAAACAACCGACCCCATCTGTTAGATGTTTAAGATCAGACAGATGTAAGTTGCTTTTAGCCAGTCATTCTTCTGACAAACTTTATTTCAACTATAATTGTGGTTTGTAATACATTAGTTTGGAGACGGTATCCAATATTTTTTGGTTGCTTAGATCCTTACACTTACATTAAATTAAATGAACTGCCAGCTAATTCATTAAATACTTAGGTCCTGTCTATGTAAGATAAGATACTGACACATTAGCTACTGAGCCGAATTTGAAGTTTACATACTCTTGGTTTCTCATTGTTTCCAGTGCATGAAGGCTCTATTTGGGTCTGTTAATTAATGTATTCACTGACCCACAATGAAAAAGTAGGTGCAACTTTAAAATTTTATAACCATACATTCATCAGCTTTACTAGCCTGTCGGTATCTGGAAGTTCTATTTCCTCTGTAAAACAGAAGTTATTCATGGTAAAAGCTGTAACCACTACAGGAAAACGAGACTACTGAAACCGCCCACAGGTATGCCTTTCTTAGGGAAAAGTTTTGTTGGAAATGCAAGAGTGGCCCCCAAGACTTTTCAGGGAAAATGTTAAGTGGATATTAGTTAAATTATGAACAGCTCACAGAAAACACATTTTTGTCACGTCAACACTGAAACTGAATGAGGATTTAAGATTTCCCAAAAACGGCTCCAGTATCAAACATCGCACCATGAAGACCTAAAATGTGGCTGCTCCATTAAAAAACCAACGTGTTCCGGCATCAAGCCCCTGTGGCTAGTGACAGGCGCTGGTGCCCCCCCCCCAGGCTGCCGACACAGCAGCACCCCAGTTCCGCTCCCTGTGTTGACTTCCTCACGGCCTCTGGTTCTCAAATGCAGGGGAGCTGAAAGCCCTCTCTCCGCAGGATCTTTCCAGCCTGGGGGTCACTCGTTAACCCATGCCACTCCTCACACCCAACCAAGCGGTCACACTCCCTGGTTTTGAGCTTTGCCTTCCCCCGAGGAAATCTAAAACATCGTTTGCACCTGAAACCCACAGAGGCCGCTCCCCAAGGGAGCCTGAGACATCGCCGCCCTGCACTTGCTTGCTTCACCTGCCGGTGGGATGAGGCTTGCGTCGTGCAGGTCGCACGGAAAGCGTTACTGCACGTGAAGCATGCTGGGCCTTTCCTGCTCACATGCTAATGGGAAGCTGCACCTCCAGTAACCATCTCAGAGAGGGCGTGAACCCTAAGGCTGCAGGTCTGTGTGCGGGCGGGTAGACTTGAGTAAACTTGCTCACGACTTGCTCTGCAGTTTCAGTGTATTCTAGGCCAGGAGTTTTCGACTGCAAACCCCACCGCTCCTAAGCAACGGCGAGGTGCAGCCCCTTCTCCGCGGCGGCCTTCCCACCTGCCGGCACTGGCTGGCGCTTTCTGCTCCTGCTGCGAAACTCTTGTTAAAGCACATGTTTCCTGCCGGGGGATTCTGGCTCCTTCGAGGGTCTGAGAACTCCGACCTACAGTAAAGTCACTCACGAAACTCACTGCGTCCTCACGGTATCCTCCAGATGACCCTGTCCTTGCCGCGAGGTCAGCGCGAAGGCACGTGCCAGGGCGTCGCCAAGCTGAGGCAGTGCTCAGCCCGTGGCTCTGGCTGCTTCCCAGCCACATCCCAGTGCGGAGTCAGAACTGGCCCACCCAGGAGAACCCCATCTTGCCCAGGCTCTCAGTATCCCCATCAGCCGGTGCCGACGTGCTGGACCCCAGAGGACTCCCTCTGCACCACTGTCCTCAGTGTCACCACCGCCGGTGGCCACATGCCTGCCGCCCGCCGGCCCCGGGGCTGTGAGCCGTAGCGGTTCTTGCTCCGAGTACTGCTTCCTGAGGAGTGGTGCCCACTGTGCTGCCAGCCCAGTGCCAGGCCGAGGGCAGAAGTGGGGAAGGCAGCAGGTGTGCCAGGGGCTCAGGGTGTCCCCGGCGGGCTCCAGGACTCGCGCACTAGACGGAACGGAGGGCCCGCCAGGTGTCACTGCCCACTGGGCAAACAGCAACGACGTGCCAGGAGACCCACCTCCCATGCCCGCCTGCTCATGCCCCTCCTCTCACTCAGAAGTCCTCCCGCCTGCGCCTTCCCTGAGGCCCCCAGGCCTAGTGCCCCCACAGTGCCAGGCTCCGGAGGTGGCTTCCCCCCACACGCCAGAATTGGGTGGCCTCGCAGGGAGCCCTCCACTCACTGTTCTCCACTCAGAGGCCGCCGCTCTGAGCGCAGTAGGGGCAGGCTCCGAGCTCTTGGGGTGTTACTGCCAGCCACTGGTTGGGTGTGGGGTGAAAGCTGGTGCTCCTGGCTGTGGCCCAGCACCCCCTGCCCACCGGCCCTTACCTGCCAGCCCAGTCGTCCAGCTCCACGAGCGTCTCGGGGCCCCCGGGGCAGCACTGCTTCTCCCTCTCGGGGGCGCTGGTGTCCTCAGGCCCCGGGGTGAGCACGGCCGGGCGATCTGGGCTTCCTGTCGGGGCCACGGGCCTCTCCTGCCAGGTCTCTCGCACCTCAGGGCCCACGTTTTTCTCCTCAGAGGCAGGAGAGGGGCTGCGGGGGAGAAGCACACTCGTTGGTCAGGCTGCCGGGCGGCCCCTCAGGCGTGTTTGCGGCTGCTGTCCCCGAGTGGGGCCGAGGGGCCCTGCCCGGGCCCGTCCCGCCTGGGGGAGGGCAGTTTGCCTTCCCCTGGGGGAACCCTAGCACTGCAGACTGGCTGAGCCTGTGCCATGACTGTCCTGCCAGCTTCGAATCCCGCTTGTGAGTGGCTTCCCAGCCCCCGCGGCTGCCACCAGGGAGACTCCTCGCTTTGTGGCTCCCATTATCCTCCACTTGCCCGCGTGGCCCCCAGGGGCCTCTAAGGACTGTTCTCGCCGCCAGTGCCTCCTTCAGAGCATCCAGCCTGCATGTTGGCATTGCTGCCTGGTGGTATCAGGCACCAGAGATGCCAAGGCCTCTGCACTAGCGGCACTGATTCAGTCGAGGAGCTGAGAGCATGAGCTCAGCATTACAGGAGACGCCCGGCCGGACCGGAGCCGGAGCCTGAACCTGAACCCCTGCAACAGCAGCGAGCTGCCTCACGGGTGCCTCGCGGGTGCGATCCAGCACCCACCGCAGCTGGGTGCCGCAGCTCTGGCTAGTAGGTGGCGCCCTACCTTCATGGGGAATAAAGAGGGGCGCAGTGGCACTAAAGCAACGTGGTGATGAGGACTTCCAGGGACTCCAAGTGCCCCCAGCGAGTGCACCTTGTCCTGAGGGTCTGCTGCCACCTGCCACATGCCAAGCACAATGCCGAGGGGTGACACCCCTGCCAGCAGGACACCCGATGCAGCCACCTCGCGCTGCGCTGGGACACAACCTTGCGCCAAAGGCAGAGAAGCGTGTGCCTTCTGACAAGCCACAGCAGCGTCGCCACGCGGCTGCCCGGGCGTATCAGTTTCTCGGCCAGCCTGACTAGGGAGGCCCAGTCAGAGAGCCGCCAGGGACCACTCGCAGCCGCACTGAGGCAGACATCCTCACGCTCCATGGAGCCGGAGGCACCAGCAACCGGGTGCCATCACGCTGGGCCGGGACGAAAAGCCCCCACCGCTGTGGCCCTCTTGGGTGCCAAATTAGTGAGCTTGCAGCTCAGCTTTCAATGCAGAAAGCACGTGAACCCAGACTGGCAACAGAGGACACAGGCGCGGCTGAACGGGACGCCCAGCAGCAGCGCTTGGTGGGCTGGGGCTCCTCCAGCCCACTAAGGACACTGGACGGTAGGCTGGCGACGGCCGGACAGGGGTGTAGTCAGGCGCTGGTCTACATGCTGCACACGCACAGGCCACGTGCTCAGGAGCACCCCGGGGTGGCAACTATCACCCAGCCATGTCCGGAGGGAAGGAAGCAGGGGGCAATGCTGGCGACGGGATCGACCTGCCAATACAGGGCCCCCCTGCCTGGGCTGTGTGCACAGGGAAACCGGCTCAGT